ATACGGGGAGTTACGTGTTCCTGATACAGGCCATGTAAGGATTCGGGGAGTTATGTGTTCCTGATCGTTCCAGACACTCAACGACCAACTCCTGCTGCCTCCTTTCGTGCCACACAGGGAGAGCTCTTAATTCACTGTTCTCTTTGAAGTTAATGAGCCAGGGGGGTGATCGGTGTTCGGTAGTTTCAACTACCAAACCAAAAAAAAGTAAAAGTCCTGAATAAACAGGATAGTTTCATCACAGCCTGTATTAGGAACACATAACTCCTGGAATCCTTACATGGCCATGTAAGGATTCCAGGAGTTATGTGTTCCTAATACAGGCTGTGATGAAACTATCCTGTTTATTCAGGACTTTTACTTTTTTTTGGTTTGGTAGTTGAAACTACCGAACACCGATCACCCCCCTGGCTCATTAACTTCAAAGAGAACAGTGAATTAAGAGCTCTCCCTGTGTGGCACGAAAGGAGGCAGCAGGAGTTGGTCGTTGAGTGTCTGGAACTAAAATCGGACACTCGATTTCCCGAACACCGGTGAAACTGTACGAACGCCTGCTTCCTTTTCCCGAACAGCCAGGAGAGCGCTGTTCGGTAGTTTTGTTCCCACGAACTAGGGGAACAAACGCTACTATGAGCCAGGGGGTACCGTTCGTGCATTTGTTTGTTTTCAAGACTATCCAAAATAGACCGACTGCACAACCTAAACTCATGGAACGATTTCAGAGCCTTATGTAAGGTTGGTCAAATTAAGACATCCATTTAATTCCAAAACCCCTGAACTGATCTGGGTAATTTTTTGGATTTGTGGGTCACCCAGATCAGGGCTATTACATTTATGGGGATTTTTTTGTGTTTTGGGGAACTTTAAGTTTTATGGAAAATTTAATTTTTTTCTGCCTGGAGATAATTGCGTTATTACAGTATCTGACTCAATTATCTCCCAGGCAGAGAGCAGGGGTTGTATGATGTATAGGGGAGTGTCATACTTTGTAACCTTACTGTTATTGTTTTTTAACTTTGTGTTGGAGTCCCCCACAAGGTCCACGTGGGAGTGCCCCTTGCATGGGGACTTGCATAAAAGCCAGTGTGGCGCTACTAAACTTTATTCCTGTTGTACCCTTCATCTAGTCTACTACATGGATGCTGCATTCGTCTGGGAACCGTTCAAATCTAGACCCGAACTGCGAGCTATAATCACTGCAGCAGTTCGGTAGAAAATAGGCGAACGGGTATCTACCATACCAGCATTCGTAACATAGGCCATGTAAGGATACCAGGAGTTACGTGTTCCCTGATATAGGCCATGTAAGGATGCCAGGAGCTACGTGTTCCGGATATTGGTCATGTAAGGACTTATACAAGTCATATAAGGATACGAAAGATAAAAAAAAAAAAAAAAATATGTCATATAAGGATACCGGCCGCTACATTTTCCCTGATACAGGTCATGCAAGGACCTATAACAGTCATATAAGGACACCTGGAGCTACGAGTTTCTGATACTAGGAGTTAAGAGATCATGATACCAATCCATAATGGAGCTACGTGTTCCTGATACCGGTCACGTGGGAGCTACGTGTTCCTGATATAGGTCATGTAAGAATACTGGGAGCTACGTGTTCCTGATATAGGTCATGTAAGAATACAACGAGTTAAAAGTTCATGATACAGGTCATGAAAGGGTTAAGCAAAACCTTTTTATTATGATACAAATACAACCTTTATGTATAAAAAGTTAACACTAATCAACTTTCACTTTCTACTATCGCTAAGGGCATGTTACAGTAAAGGTTGTACATCTCACACTGGGTATGGAATACGCTGGTCAGAAAAACAGATCGCAGGTTTTATGATACGTCAATTTTAATAAACAGAACTTCACTTTCTCTTTCCACACACAGTTTATAAGCTTGTTACAGGCCTGACATTAGTTCTGGATTTGTTCCTTAGCCAAGGATTGCTGGCTTTCCCAAATCAATAAATAAACAGAGAGACACCCAAATCTTGGCCAAGCGGCATGCCAGGTAGGACTGCCTAACACGCCATGTTCTAGGAGAAATCGGACTACTACTTTGGAGTCAAGAAAGACGTTTTTCTGCACTTCGCGGTTAAATTGTGTTTTTTACCTTCGTTTGCATCAACGGCAGTAAGAATTATCAAACTAATGAAAGGGCATGATGGGGATTTCTCAGCCTAGATTACCATGTCTCTAACTTATATTAACACTATGGGCAGCCAGACTTATCTCATTGACCTGGTCTGGGTGCACTGCCCCCTTAGTTACATTGTAGGGTTAAGACTGCCTCCACACAGTCACTAGACGTTTAACTCTCACACTTAGCATGATAACGTCCAGCATCTTCAAAATCCCCATAGGAAAGCATTGACCAAATGTTCTCCTATGGGAGAGGTCTAGTGAGTGCAGGATGTCGCTGGAGGACGAGGTAAGCGGTAAAAGGGTTTTTAACCATTAACACAGCATAAATGGCGGGGGGGACGTTAGAAGTACAGTTGTTTTCTTATACAGGGAGTGGGGGTAATAACACACAGTACAGAGGCAGTGAGGGTGTATTATACAGGGAGTGGGGTAATAACACACAGTATAGAGGCAGTGAGGGTGTATTATACAGGGAATGGGGGTAATAACACACAGTATAGAGGCAGTGAGGGTGTATTATACAGGGAGTGGGGGGGTAATAACACACAGTATAGAGGCAGTGAGGGTGTATTATACAGGGAGTGGGGGTAATAACACACAGTATAGAGGCAGTGAGGGTGTGTTATACAGGGAGTGGGGGGGTAATAACACACAGTATAGAGGCAGTGAGGGTGTGTTATATAGGGAGTGGGGGGGTAATAACACAGTATAGAGGCAGTGAGGGTGTGTTATACAGGGAGTGAGGGGGTAATAACACACAGTATAGAGGCAGTGAGGGTGTGTTATACAGGGAGTGGGGGGGGGTAATAACACACAGTATAGAGGCAGTGAGGGTGTATTATACAGGGAGTGGGGGGGTAATAACACACAGTATAGAGGCAGTGAGGGTGTATTATAACAGGGAGTGGGGTAATAACACACAGTATAGAGTAGGCAGTGAGGGTGTGTTATACAGGAGTGGGGGGTAATAACACACAGTATAGAGGCAGTGAGGGTGTATTATACAGGGAGTGGGGTAATAAACACACAGTATATAGATAGTAGGAGGGTGTGTTATACAGGAGTGGGGGTAATAAACACACAAAAAGAGAGGCAGTGAGGGTGTATTATACAGGAGTGGGGGGGTACAACACACAGTATAGAGGCAGTGAGGGTGTATTATACAGGGAGTGGGGGTAATAACACACAGTATAGAGGCAGTGAGGGTGTGTTATACAGGGAGTGGGGGGGTAATAACACACAGTATAGAGGCAGTGAGGGTGTGTTATATAGGGAGTGGGGGGGTAATAACACAGTATAGAGGCAGTGAGGGTGTGTTATACAGGGAGTGAGGGGGTAATAACACACAGTATAGAGGCAGTGAGGGTGTGTTATACAGGGAGTGGGGGGGGGTAATAACACACAGTATAGAGGCAGTGAGGGTGTATTATACAGGGAGTGGGGGGGTAATAACACACAGTATAGAGGCAGTGAGGGTGTGTTATACAGGGAGTGGGGGTAATACTCACAATACAGGAAGCAGCTCTCTCTCTCTCTCTTTATGCACAAAGCTCCGAGTTGGGATCTGACAGCTGAGGCCTCAACACAGACAGGAGGAAAACGAAACAATCAGCAACCTGGGCTGGGCTTACACCCTGCCACCTCCCCCTGCTCACCCAGCCCTGCACAGACTGCCACCTCCCCCTGCTCACCCAGCCCTGCACAGACTGCCACCTCCCCCTGCTCCCCCAGCCCTGCACAGACTGCCACCCCCCTGCACAGACTCCCACCTCGCTCCCCTGCACAGACTGCCACCTCACCCAGCCCCTGCACACAGACTGCCACCTCCCCTGCCACCCAGCCCTGCACAGACTGCCACCTCCCCCTGCTCACGCAGCCCTGCACAGACTGCCACCCCCCCCCTTCACTTTGAATTCCCATCAATTCTCACGTTAATAAATAACCCCCGAGTATTTAGAAGAATAATGAGAATTAGTGATCTGTCGTTATAGTGTGCGGAATCACAGATAAAGCTCATTTTCTGTTTTATTCGTGGACCTTGGGCAGCGTTTGCAGTAATAACAGAGTGTGTGCGTTATTATTATATCTGCGCTCACTGGCGCGGTACGCGGCCATCGTCTAACGATTCTCACTCAGAAAGATGGTTTTCTGGGGTTTCTCCCTCCGTAAGGGATGATTTGTACAAGTCATGCGTCTTAGTAAAACCACTAAATGCTACGTACACCCGCCACAATCTCTTAAAATACTTTATTGGGATTTTCCAGAGTTTGATGAGCCGTCCCCGTCCCACAAAAGAATTCGCGAAAACAGTAACACGTTGTTACCTTTTAAAGCGTCTCGGTCACCAAAAATAATCTGAATTTAATCTGTTTCTACACAGCTATCTGAACGGCTTTTTATTTTTTCCCTGAGCGCTCGAGTTTTCATATATAAAGATGGAAATTTTTTAGAAATTTTAGAAAATTCTGGACTATTTTATCTGACGTAGAGCCGTCAGGTTGACGTGACTTGACAAGGGGGCGGAGTTTAACGCAAGGTTCCATGAGGTTTGAATGTTGTAATCGAAGTGAAACATAAATAAATAAACACAAGCAGAAATTTTCAATCAAAATGTTTATTTAATAACTTTAGTGATACACCTTGGAGAATGGCCGTGGACCTTTATTATGGATTTCATAATTCCTATTAAACCATAACCATATGAATAATAGTAAACCATAGCTTTAAAACCAACATATTAAACCACTTTCCAAGGCTCCGCCCCCCTCCAAAGCCAGGAGCCATAAATATCTCTTCAACCAAATCCACCAAATCCACCCGCCTGTGATGACCAGGAGGGCGACTTATATCCCAACGCCACCGAGGTTCTGGGCTACCAAACTCGGTGGCCCCCCAACGCCCATGGCCATCTCCAACATGGATTGAATCCCCAAATTAAATATATCCAAACCAATATCCGACAAGTGAATTTCATCGCTCCTATAAAAGCCAGCGCAATTGCCCTCAATATCCCTGTGCCTATATGAGGTCATTCCCAGGGTTGGTAAAAATTTTTCCAACGCTCTACTTACTTTCCTACGTACCCTTTCCAATGGTTTTAAAAAACTTACTTTTAACCAGCAATGCCTTGGGATAATCTCCGACCATATGAACCGAACATCTGGAAATATTTGTGTTATGCATACCAAATCACTTTTAATCTCTTTTATCAAATTGACCGATTTCGTTGAGCCAATATCGTTCCCTCCCAAATGAACTATTACTACCTCTGGATAGGGAAAACTTAACATGCATTGTTGTATTATTTCAAATAATTGAGACCACTTAGCCCCACGAATTCCTTTCCAAAAGACTTTAACAGCATTGCTTTCTAATCCAAGATTTTCGCCATATGACCGTTCTTTTGCCCTCTTCTGGGCCCAAAATATAAATGAGTGACCGATTACCCAGGCAATCGCCGGCTTCTTATTACCTAGCAAAAGAAGATTATTAACATATATACGCCAATGTTCATATACATCCATAAACTTTAATAACAAAGAACCGTTAACGTTTTTTTTTTTTTTTTTTATATCAAATGAGGCCTGACGTATAATTGAAATCTATTAGACTCCCATCTCCCCAACCTTTTAATCATTCCATCACTTAAACCACACCTTGCTGCTTCTGTTGCCGCTCCAATTCTAAAAGAATGAGATGAATAACGCTCATCGCCTAACTTTAACTTGTCTATGCACAACCTGAAGACCTTTTTAAATTGGAACTTAGTCAACGGAACGGTGTCCTTATGCATGAAAAAAGGACCTTCAACCCTTGGTCTAATTGACAAGTAATTTTCTGTCACCTTAACCGGACACAAAAAAGAACCTTTAATCTCCAGCAATGTTAACCATCTTCCTTTGCCTTCCTGATCTGTTTTAGATTTACTAATGAATACCATCACTTTCCTATCATTAACTATAATATCTTCCCATTGTAAACCTGACAAACAAAACTTACTCTTAGCCACTAACTCGCTAATTCTTAACGCTGCGAAAAAAGCTATTATAAATGAACATCTAATTAAAACTACCTCATACTCAGAATAACATACGTCCTCCAGGACTACAAATAACTGCGATAGCACTGTAAACGATATTGGTTTTCTGTTATCCCTTACTCTACTGGCTCTTCTATAACCTCGAACTAACTGATTAACTATGAAATACTGCTTAATTGGTTTACATTCACACAGCTTCCTAAAGAAATCCACCCCGGCTAAACTACAAGCTAACTTGGACTTAGAGAAACCTTTCTGCATTAACACCAATGTAAATTGTATTGCGCTCTCCTTGTCCTCTCCAAACGGATCTTTATTGTTTGACTGATTAAATTTGAACCACTCATTCCATGCTCTGACATATGTACTCCACGTAGAAACAGCTACTGAATTCATCAGCATCACACTTAACTGTCCCCAATCAAATCCCAAAGGTCTGACGGGAACTGGGTTCCTTCCGCAGCTGCTCTTGGTGCCAATTTTCGAAATTCCTGCAATTGCAATCGTGAGAGAGCATCAGCCAGCCTATTGATTTTGCCTGGTATATGTCTAGCTTTTATCCATATGTTCAGCTGAAAACACCTTAACACTAAGTGTCTAAGTAAATTGATAACTCTATTACACCTAGACTGTAAGGAATTAATTACCATTACTACACTTAGATTGTCACAAGTGACGATCAGCCGCCTATTTCTCCATGCTCCTCCCCATAGATATATTGCGGCTACAATTGGAAACAATTCCAACAATGTCAAGTTTTTGGTTAAGCCTTCCTGTGCCCAAAGAACCGGCCATTCTTGTGCACACCACTGTCCATTCCAATATATGCCAAAACCAATAGCACCAGATGCATCTGTAAACAGCTCAAGACTATCCGAATCTATAAACTCTTGTTGCCACATTGACCTTCCATTAAAATCTGTTAGGAAATTATGCCATACTTTAAGGTCTTGCTTCAATTCTTTTGTTACCCTAATGTGTGCAAATGGGGACCTAACCTTAGACATTGCTATCCCCAACTTCCTGGAGAAAGCTCTCCCCATTGGAATAACCCTTGAAGCAAATGTTAACAGACCTAACAGAGATTGTAAAACTTTCAATGTCACCTTCTCGCAGCCCATTACCTGCTGAATCAGCATCTTCATTTTCAGTATCTTATCCTCCGGCAACCTAAATTCCATTTTTGTTGAATCAATCATTATTCCCAGAAATTGCAAAGAAAATGTGGGTAAAACCGTTTTATCCTCTGCTAATGGGATTCCTAAATGACCAGCCACCCTTCTAAATGTTTCTAGTAAATTCTTACAGTTGTCACTATCCTTAGTGCCCACAAATAAAAATCATCCAAGTAATGCATTACTTGCTGCTGACCTGATTCATACCGAATAATCCATTCCATGAAAGTCGCAAAGGTCTCAAAATAAGAACATGACAGTGCACAACCCATAGGCAGGCACTTATCGAAAAAATACTGGCCCTTGAACTGAAAACCTAGCGAATTGAAGGATTCGGGATGAATCGGCAAGAGTCGAAAGGCAGATTCTATATCCCCCTTTGCCATCAAAGCACCCCTTCCACATTTTCTTACCAAATTTAAAGCCTTATCAAAAGTTGAATAAGACACTGAACTTTCTTCTCTAGAAATCATGTCATTTAAAGATCCTCCCTTGGGGTATGATAGGTGATGTATTAGTCGATATGACCCGGGTTCTTTCTTTGGAACCAAACCCAGAGGGGATAACCGAAAACATTTAAATGGAGGAACATTAAAAGGGCCCTCAACTCTCCCTAACTCTAACTCTTTGCAAATCTTTTCCCAGGCTAAACTTGGTAACTCTAAAACTGATTTTAAATTCTCAACCCAACAAAATTCAACAGAACTATATACAGGTAACCTGAACCCATTTTCAAAACCTTCTTTAATTAATTTGGCTTTCTCCCGGTTTGGATAGATTGCGAGATAAGGTAGTAACCTTACCACTTTCACTGGGGTCTGTGCTTTTTGGAAATGTACCACTTTGTTGTCCTCTTTTATAGCAGCGAAAATTAGGATGCGCACCTGAACAGGAAGCGCATTCGTGCCGGAATCTACAATTATTCAGCCACTTACATTGTGATTCGTTATAAGCCCAGCAAAAACCTTTTTTCTGTGCAACATTTGTAACCTGCCTATTAACAAAATTAGGCTGTCTCTGCGGTAACATCATGCTCACCCATAGTCCGACATCCTTCATACCCCATTTAAGGTTGCTATGTACTGCTAGTTTTTGTCGGAATTGTTCATCATAATAAAACCATGACAAACCCCCAAAATTTTTATATGCCTCCAAAATAGCTTCTGTATGTTGAAATAGCCCACAGCACAATTCTGGATATTTTTCGCCTAACACGCTAGCATAAATGCAAAAAGCTTGCAGCCAATTATTGAAAGACCTCGGAATAAACTTTTTCCTCTCCTCATCCCCCTTTTCCCTGTCGGGTTTAGTAAATTCTCTGGCTGTGGGCAATAATGATAGAATATCGATATACTCCCCTTTCCATATCCTATCCTTTATAGACTTACTTAAATGAAAACCCAGAGGGGAGCTTTCACAACCTAACGCTTCTTTCATGCATGTCTCTTTTACTCTAACTTCTTCCCTCACAGAATGTGTCACTTTTGGATTAACTGTGACCACTTCTGTATCAGGCTCCCATACTCTCGCTAATTTAGGTGTCTGCAATAATTTTGTAAGTTTCTCAAGTGAAGACACCACTTCCCCGAAAACAGCATTATTCACATTTGCTTGTAACTCACCCAGCTCATGACTGCAACCTGGGATATCCTGAGCTGCTTCGCTCTCTTCGAATAGCCTAGGTCTGTCCTCAGCCTCTTTATTCTTCTTCTTTTGTTCGTATTTTCTGCCCTGTTTCCACATCCTCTTCCTATTCTTTATTGGAGACGGTGAGAAGGTTTCCCTGGACCGTTCTTGCCTCACGAATCCTGCAGGGGTCGCTATCACCAGATTTTCTTTCTTGCACTGGCCCTTTAATTTTTGAGGGGAATATCCTGCTCCCTCCTCCATTATTAACTCCTCCTGTAGCTCAGCCCCTTCTTCTTCCTCTACTTCAATTAGACCAGAGGTGCTGGGGGCGGACTCTAAGCAAGCCTGTAGCCATGCAGTATCACTGCAGCCTAAAGCCTTTTGTTTAAGCTGTTCTAATAATGCCTCAATTGTGCCAGACATCTCCAAAGGTAAGAAACAGCAGCTTAAATATTTTAATATATAGCTAACCTTCGGATTTGTCTGGCACAAGCTGAGGCAATTAATTTGGCGCCCTCCAATTTATATCCCCTATTTTCCCTCCAATATTGCCCTCGCGCTGCTATCTACCAATCAGGGCTCATGCCCTGGTCGCGAGCTTGCCGCCTTTACTGCCAGCGCGAGCTGCCTTGCACTTAACCCTAACCTGCATTTAACCCCTAGCGCGAGCGCTATACTTACCCACTTCGCTCCATCAAACCTCATGGGGCTTCTCCTTAAGCAGTCCGCGTGCCCGACATTTCAGTTGCCGATCTAATTCAGCCACAATCCATCAGTAAACTCAATCCTGCAGACGGGCGAACAGCCGACATCTTGGCAGACAGAACAAAATGGCCGCCGGCAGGTATTGAGATCCGGCGCGAGGAAGTAAAGATAATAAATATAAATAGAGGCAGGTGGAAATTAGGGAGTGTGAGATACTGAGGGGGGCGTGACGGAAGGAACACTGAAATATTTTAATAAAATGGATTATATGTTAAAAAAAAAACAAAATCAAGAAAACTCATCCCTGCATTTAGTCTATGACAGCCATATACGCACACCCTGGGTCAGACAGTGTTTGGAAACCGCTATACAGTCTACGGTGTGCCCTCATAGCACAGACAATGGGAGGTATCAGTAACAAACACTGCCCCCCCAGGGACCATTCACTGCACTAGTAGGAGGACCAACAGCATAGACAATGGGAGGTATCAGAAACAAACACTGCCCCCCCAGGGACTATTCACTGCGCTAGTAGGAGGACCAACAGCGCAGACAATGGGAGGTATCAGAAACAAGCACTGCCCCCCCAGGGACTATTCACTGCGCTAGTAGGAGGACCAACAGCGCAGACAATGGGAGGTATCAGAAACAAACACTGCCCCCCAGGGCCTCTCACTGCGCCAGTAGGAGGACCAACAGCAAAGACAATGGGAAGTATCAGAAACAAACACTGCCCCCCAGGGACCATTCACTGCGCTAGTAGGAGGACTAGCAGCATAGACAATGGGAGGTATCAGAAACAAACACTGCCCCCCAGGGCCTCTCACTGCGCCAGTAGGAGGACCAACAGCAAAGACAATGGGAAGTATCAGAAACAAACACTGCCCCCCAGGGACCATTCACTGCGCTAGTAGGAGGACTAGCAGCACAGACAATGGGAGGTATCAGAAACAAACACTGCCCCCCCAGGGACCATTCACTGCGCTAGTAGGAGGACCAACAGCAAAGACAATGGGAGGTATCAGAAACAAGCACTGCCCCCCCAGGGGCCATTCACTGCGCTAGTAGGAGGACCAACAGCACAGACAATGGGAGGTATCAGAAACAAACACTGCCCCCCCAGGGACCATTCACTGCGCTAGTAGGAGGACCAACAGCACAGACAATGGGAAGTATCAGAAACAAGCACTGCCCCCCCAGGGACCTTTCACTGCACTAGTAGGAGGACCAACAGCACAGACAATGGGAGGTATCAGAAACAAACACTGCCCCCCCAGGGACCTTCACTGCGCTAGTAGGAGGACCAACAGCACAGACAATGGGAGGTATCAGAAACAAACACTGCCCCCCCAGGGACCATTCACTGCGCTAGTAGGAGGACCAACAGCACAGACAATGGGAGGTATCAGAAACAAGCACTGCCCCCCCAGGGACCATTCACTGCGCTAGTAGGAGGACCAACAGCACAGACAATGGGAGGTATCAGAAACAAGCACTGCCCCCCCAGGGACCATTCACTGCGCTAGTAGGAGGACCAACAGCACAGACAATGGGAGGTATCAGAAACAAACACTGCCCCCCCAGGGACCATTCACTGCGCTAGTAGGAGGACCAACAGCACAGACAATGGGAGGTATCAGAAACAAACACTGCCCCCCAGGGACCTTTCACTGCGCTAGTAGGAGGACCAACAGCAGACAATGGGAGGTATCAGAAACAAACACTGCCCCCCCAGGGACCATTCACTGCTAGTAGGAGGTCCAAGAGCACAGACAATGGGAGGTATCAGAAACAAACACTGCCCCCCACCAGGGACCATTCCTTTCGCTAGTAGGAGGACCAACAGCACAGACAATGGGAGGTATCAGGAAACAAGCACTGCCCCAGGGACCATTCACTGCGCTAGTAGGAGGACCAACAGCACAGACAATGGGAGGTATCAGAAACAAGCACTGCCCCCCCAGGGACCATTCACTGTGCTAGTAGGAGGACCAACAGCACAGACAATGGGAGGTATCAGAAACAAGCACTGCCCCCCCAGGGACCTTTCACTGCGCTAGTAGGAGGACCAGCAGCACAGACAATGGGAGGTATCAGAAACAAACACTGCCCCCCCAGGGACCATTCACTGCGCTAGTAGGAGGACCAACAGAACAGACAATGGGAGGTATCAGAAACAAACACTGCCCCCCCAGGGACCATTCACTGCGCTAGTAGGAGGACTAGCAGCACAGACAATGGGAGGTATCAGAAACAAACACTGCCCCCCCAGGGACCATTCACTGCGCTAGTAGGAGGACCAACAGCAAAGACAATGGGAGGTATCAGAAACAAGCACTGCCCCCCCAGGGGCCATTCACTGCGCTAGTAGGAGGACCAACAGCACAGACAATGGGAGGTATCAGAAACAAGCACTGCCCCCCCAGGGACCATTCACTGCGCTAGTAGGAGGACCAACAGCACAGACAATGGGAGGTATCAGAAACAAGCACTGCCCCCCCAGGGACCATTCACTGCGCTAGTAGGAGGACCAACAGCACAGACAATGGGAGGTATCAGAAACAAGCACTGCCCCCCCAGGAACCATTCACTGCGCTAGTAGGAGGACCAACAGCAAAGACAATGGGAGGTATCAGAAACAAGCACTGCCCCCCCAGGGACCATTCACTGCGCTAGTAGGAGGACCAACAGCACAGACAATGGGAGGTATCAGAAACAAACACTGCCCCCCCATGGACCATTCACTGCGCTAGTAGGAGGACAACAGCACAGACAATGGGAGGTATCAGAAACAAACACTGCCCCCCAGGGCCTCTCACTGCGCCTGTAGGAGGACTAGCAGCACAGACAATGGGAGGTATCAGAAACAAACACTGCCCCCCAGGGCCTCTCACTGCGCCAGTAGGAGGACTAGCAGCACAGACAATGGGAGGTATCAGAAACAAGCACTGCCCCCCCAGGGACCATTCACTGCGCTAGTAGGAGGACCAACAGCACAGACAATGGGAGGTATCATAAACAAACACTGCCCCCCCCATGGACCATTCACTGCGCTAGTAGGAGGACCAACAGCAAAGACAATGGGAGGTATCAGAAACAAACACTGCCCCCCCAGGGACCATTCACTGCGCTAGTAGGAGGACCAACAGCACAGACAATGGGAGGTATCAGAAACAAGCACTGCCCCCCCAGGGACCATTCACTGCGCTAGTAGGAGGACCAACAGAACAGACAATGGGAGGTATCAGAAACAAACACTGCCCCCCCATGGACCATTCACTGCGCTAGTAGGAGGACCAGCAGCACAGACAATGGGAGGTATCAGAAACAAACACTGCCCCCCCATGGACCATTCAATGCGCTAGTAGGAGGACCAACAGCACAGACAATGGGAGGTATCAGAAACAAACACTGCCCCCCCAGGGACCATTCACTGCGCTAGTAGGAGGACCAACAGCAAAGACAATGGGAGGTATCAGAAACAAGCACTGCCCCCCCAGGGACCATTCACTGCGCTAGTAGGAGGACCAACAGCACAGACAATGGGAGGTATCAGAAACAAGCACTGCCCCCCCAGGGACCATTCACTGCGCTAGTAGGAGGACCCACAGCACAGACAATGGGAGGTATCAGAAACAAACACTGCCCCCCCATGGACCATTCACTGCGCTAGTAGGAGGACCAGCAGCACAGACAATGGGAGGTATCAGAAACAAACACTGCCCCCCCCATGGACCATTCACTGCGCTAGTAGGAGGACCAACAGCACAGACAATGGGAGGTATCAGAAACAAAACACTGCCCCCCCAGGGACCATTCATTGCGCTAGTAGGAGGACCAACAGCACAGACAATGGGAGATATCAGAAACAAACACTGCCCCCCAGGGACCTTTTATTGCGCTAGTAGGAGAACCAACAGCACAGACAATGGGAGGTATCAGAAACAAACACTGCCCCCCCAGGGACCATTCACTGCGCTAGTAGGAGGACCAACAGCACAGACAATGGGAGGTATCAGAAACAAACACTGCCCCCCAGGGACCTTTCACTGCGCTAGTAGGAGGACTAGCAGCATAGACAATGGGAGGTATCAGAAACAAACACTGCCCCCCCATGGACCATTCACTACGCTAGTAGGAGGACCAACAGCATAGACAATGGGAGGTATCAGAAACAAACACTGCCCCCCATGACCTTTCTTTTCTTATAATATCTGATTTTATTGAAGTTTTCATAAAAAAATTGAACAACAATTGGGGATACAGAAAAGAAAAAAGGGAGGGGGACAGGTACATCATCATTACCGGTTTTGGTATTTTTTTTTAAAGTTTTCCACTTTGAGTTTATTTTTTCTTGTTTTTTTTTGGGGGGGGCAGGGGTTGTTTTCTTTTTGTTTGTCATGTGGCTATCAGTGGGGGTACATAAAAAAGACCAGGGTGGGGGGGCCTGGGGTGGAACCCAGTTGACCCACTGTTAGCCATGGGGGCAGAGATTGTCATGCTGTGGTCATCATTCAAGTAATACAGAAATGAAAGCGATACATATCTTGTGTAACTGGCCCTCTATGGTTTAGCAGTCAGGTTCCCTAACTGGTTATTTAGCTTATTTACTGAGGCCTCCCATCCTCGCTTCACTTCTCTGCATTTCTCTAATTTTTTCGTTTTGTTTCTGTGTTGTAGTGTGTTCCTTTACACCATACACCGCTTTTACGGGAGTC